TCTTGAAGAAGAGCAGCAGGCGATGTTTTGGTTTAATCTGAAAATAGCTCTAAAATCCTAGACATCAATGTTAAAGACTGAATATGTAGCAAGTGTACACTGGATTTGTTTGCTTTGCATGTTCATCCTATCACCTACCTGCATCTTGAGAACAGAGACTGCAGCTACTGTAAATTCTATTACTTGCTGTGAGATTATTTTCTTATTGTAGCTGTGGTTGCGAATTTTTTTACTGGTTTGGGCTAGAATAGAGTTAATTTTCTTCATAGTTGCTCCTATGGTTCTGTGGTTTGGATTTTCTATCCAAAACAGTGTTGAGAACACAGGGATGTTTTAGTTATTGCTGAACAGTGCTTTGCACAACATCAAGGCCTTTTCTTTTTCTCTTGCTGTCCTGCCAGTGAGTATGCTGGGGGTGGATGATAATTTGGGATGGGACACAGCTGGGACAGCTGATCCCAGCTGACCAAAGGGATGTCCCATACCATGTAACGTCATGCTCAGTAATAAACATAGTGGGAAAGAGGAAGGGAGGATGTCTGGAGTTACGGTGTTTGTCTTCCCATGTAACTGTTACGCGTGATGGAGCCCTGTTTTCATGGAAATGGCTAAACATCTGCCTGCTGATGGGAAGGAGTGAATGAATTCCTCACTTCGCTTTGGTTGCATGCAGCTTTTGCTTTACCTATTTAACTGTCTTTAGCTCAATGCATGAGTTTTCTCACTTTTACTCTTCTGATTCTCTCCTCGGTTCCACTGTGAGAGGACTGAGTGAGGGCCTGTGTGATGCTGGGGTTAAACCACAACAATTGTCTATGCACGTTAATCAGCAGTGTTAGCAAAAGCTGTTTCATTTAAGTATTTAATGATTAAAAGTTGTTTAGATATATAGCTATGTAGTTTATGTATCTTTATCTTTGCAAAAGCTTTAGGAGAAAGCCTGCCTAGCCAAGGGTTTTTCTGCATTCTTTACATAAACTACTTCTAATCAAATGCTATAAAACTCAGTTTATGCAGTAAGGATTTTTGTTCTAGCTTTCCTGCTTAGTGGATCTAAGAACTGACTCTCAGCAGTATTTCACAATCACTGTAAGTTAAATGTCCAGATCTGAGGATCATGGCTGCAATGGAAAAATATGTTTTCACGCTGCGGTGCTGGCTGTTGTAGCATGTTATGTTCTATGGCAGACAACTTCCTTGGTGAAAGACACCGATGTATGATTTCTGTCTAGTTTCATTGTACCATATATGGGAATAGATGCTTCAGAGTGGGGTCCAAACACTGTTCTGACTTGCTTAAATTGAGTTTAAGTTATTTCCAGGTAGAATGTAGGAAATGCTAGTATGTATGTAGTCTCTGAATCCAACACTATACTCCCCTCTCTGATCAGTAGCCTTAGCACAGGCATGAAAAGGGTGTTTCCCATCTTTCTACTCTCTCTGTAAATGTAACCCACAAAACCATAGTGGGTAGAGAGCATCCCACCTCAAACATTGTGTTTGCTGTCATCTGGGGCCATGTTTTCTTGAGAAGGTTGCTGAGACAAGGCCTCTGGTTGCTGAAAAAGTGGAATAAATGGGAGACACTGGCACCAGGCTCTTCCTTCAGAGATGATTTAAAAAGAAAGAGGTATCTTAGGTAATACCTGCCTTGCAGCCACAGGAAATTTCATATGAACCCAAACAGCTTGCATCTGGTAGGCCAGAGGAACAACTAACTTCTGGATCAGTTCAGGGCTTAGGCACAGTGTAGGACATTTCCAGGCAGGTACAGAAGCAGATCTTAAAAGCCTTCATATGGAAATTTGCTGTATTTGTGATTAGATCATGTCCAAGTTAGTGTTCTTATTGTTGTGTTTTGGTCTTGGGCATCTAACATGTACAAAGTCTCTGTTCAAACACTTCAATATTTGTAATTGAGCTGGTACATTGGAAGTCTCATCTCACAGTTACTTACCTGTTGTGTTACTGCTTTTAGGAGGTTCTTCTCCACAGGGACAACATATCAGTGGGAGCAGAAGCCCCTCTGTCCTTTGCTAGCCATTGAGAAGGCCAAGGACAAACATTCTTCCATTACACCCACAATTAGGCAACTCTGACAGTGTAAAGCAAAGAGAAAGATTTATTTACATGCATTTTTGCATATATGAACACAGGCATAGCGCATTATGAGAATGATTAACTTTGCTATTTCATCCAAGCAAACAAAGCCACCTTCTTTCTGTGTACTTAAGATTTGTTTTTTCTTTCATTTACTGAAGGGGTTTTTTACTCCATAATTTCCTGGTTTTAGCATCTAAACCTTATCTTCATCTGTAGATGGCTTAATGCAATCTCTGCTTTATTCTCATATATATTATAGTGTAAATTAAGCTAATCTGTATTTCTGATTTCTAAAAACAATGTAAAGATTCTTAAAATACTGACCATATTTCATCTGAGTTCAAAAGCTACTTCAGCTATGCTAATTACCTTTTAAGACCAGCTTCTCTAACTCCTAAGCAGAACTGCCCATTCTTGCATAATCATTCTGTGTTTCAATTCCTCATGCTGTGGCCAGGGTGGTACAGATGTCAAACATTCAGTCACTAAGCAGCAAGACTTAGGCATCCATTTTGATCTTGTGGGGTTTTGTTTGTTTGTTTTTGGTTTTGGTTTTGTTTTTTTTAAATAGCAACTCATGTAATCGGTGGTTAGGGATCATAACTTTGGCCTCCTGTGTTTGAGAAGCTGGTTATTGGAAGCTGGGACTTCTGAGCATAGAGACAGTAAGTCAAAGAGGACTTAATATAGGACCTCCTCATATAGGCCTATCTGAATACCATAAACCTTGCTGTGGTGTTTACAAAAGAACATTTTTTGTAAATGGCCATTGGAAGATGTATGAGTTACAATAGAGCAGCTCTTGAAAGAAGTGAGGGGGAAAAAAACGCTAATGTTAACCTTACATTAACTAAATGATCAAACTATTTGGGTGTGATGTTTCAGAATTTGGTGTATACAAAGCCATTACCTGATTTAAAATTCTCCTTATCTGCTGCACAACCTTCTGCAGTGAGAATTTCAACAGGAAGCCACTACCAATACATTTAATAATGAAACAAACTTAAAATATCTGCACTTTCTTTTCCTTTTTTTTTTTTTTTTTTTTTTAAGGGATATTCATAATAAAAAAAAATAGTCCTATTTTCTTCTAGCACAATCTTCCCATTAAAGGCAGCAATTTCTTTTATTTCCTACTTTGAGAAAATATTAAAAAAAATGCTTCAATAGCATGCTGTACAGCCTTGCTGTAATGCAAAAAGAGGCACTGTCTTGCAAAGGGGTATATAGCACACCAGAGTTCAACTAACTGCTATTTTCTCTAGTCTTTTAAAATTAAGTACAGGATATGCATATTATTGTAGACAGGTAAATATCCAACACTTTGCATTCTCTCTAATAATCTGAGCCCTACCCTAGACCCAGTGAGTAATTAATGCCTTGGATGAGGCCTACAACAACCAGTTGCCAAACCACCATGTAGCACAGCAAATCCAAACATTGTCTATAAAATAATACACGTGTTCCCACCTAAACTGTTGTTAAGGAGCGAAGATACAGCAATAGGTAAATCTTGGTGTTTTTCTTAGTCAGAATCAAAGAAAAATTATTGGGTCAAAATTTTGAAATGCCTTCTTTTCAAGTCTTCTAATTTACTTCATTTTTTTAGGGGTAAGGTTAAATTTAAATATCCTCCTCACATATGGTTAAAACAGGCTTCAAAAAAGTAAGTCAAATTTTGATTCCACTCAAGCAGGTTTCTACAGATGCAGCAACAGATCTTCAACTTACTTCATTTGCTAAAGGAAAAATGTTGTTTACTAAATACGAAGAGAAGGGGAAAAACCAGCACTTGTTCTGAAAGTGGATTATATCAATTTTGTTATTTCATTAAGGAACAAAATCCACTGCATGGTCTTTCTAAAACTGCAATTTACATTCTTTAAAATGTTCCTCTCATTATAAAAATTATTTCCGGATGTCTTAAAATCAAGAAGGAAAATATATATGCACTTTTATTTTCCTAGCTTGCTTGGGGTCTTAGATAAGATAAAGCCAAACAGAACTATCATCTTCCCTAAATATGATTGTTCCTTAATAATAATTGGTTTTCCATTTATTTAATGTGGCCATCTCATCCCTCCACTGCAGATCAAAGCAAGAATTAGCAAGTAATCAGGCTACAGTTTAGAAAATCCAAATTAAAAGCACACTTAGGGAAAGCATATGAGTTTAAGGATATGGGCTTAACATCCTTTTCAAATCAACTTTCTCAGGGCAGTATGGGCAAGTCTGTTTCTTGCCAGCAATGCACCAATTGCAGATGCAGAATTAATGAAACCTGGAATCAGGTGCATTTTTAAAGATCTTTCAAATATAAACAAGGCCCAGTACATACATCTGCAAACCTAGTCAAACTATCAACATATAATTTTAATGACTGATTATGGATACTGCCTTGTTTTATAACCAAGCAGTTTCAAATGACTTAAAATATTTAGAATATTTATAATTATTTTAAAGTTGAATCCAACATCCTGAACATCCAGACTGGTATTCATGTTTTCCAGCTCACAAGAAGCCAGGAGACTTTTATGAACTGCAGAAGAGAGTGATTAGTAACAATGTTCCAGCACGTACGTGATACCGTTCTTTTTGATTTCTGGAAGGCAAAATGAGGAGCTGCTTGGTACCCCTGAGTATAAGACACTGAGTCTTCTGTCAGGTTGTAGGGTAAGTACGTGCCATCTTCTGAGAAGAGTTCTACATCTGCCTTAAAACTACCCAGCAACCACAGCCCCGGGCCCAGCAGAGGAACTCCTCGGCAGTACCCAGGAGCCCGAATGAGCAGACCTGGCCCATGCAGTGGGTCAGCGTACCTGCTCTCTCCTACCGCCAGCCACACCCACACAGGCTGCGCCCAAAGCACGTGGAAGGCAGATTTTGGCCTGAAACTGTACGGTTACAGCCACTCTTGCCTCGGTTTGTCTGTCGAAAAGCTGCGTAGCCTCAACTTGTGTCACAGACCTGAAATATATTTCATGCTCCTATTTTTACTTTTGTGCTACGTTGTTTCTGAACGTGGTTTTAGTTCCTTTTTTTTTCTTGATCTTTATGGCTGTTGTTATTATTTTGTAATGCAGCACAAAAGAGGAGAAAACAACAGTTCCATAATTACATGGAAAGGATACACATGATTACAGGACAGCTGCTAGGTATTTTCAATGATCCCTTCTTCATTTATATCCACAAAAATTTTCTGCCTGCAGACTGTCATTGTTGGCATGCCACTGATGTAAAACTATCAGGATCAAGTTTACAGGAAAAAAAAAAATGCCAGTGAACAACAAAATATTTGCTTAGAGTCAAGGATGCATAAACACATTTTAAGTGCCATCAATGATAAGAACAGCATGAAAATGGCTACAGTTTTCTTAGTTTACTAGTGCCAGGATGCACAGAATTACCAAGAAATAATTAAAATCTTATTGCTGATGCAAGAATTTTAGCTTGGTTTTAAGTAACTGGAACAGAAAATAGTTCTGCTGAGATAATCACCTTATTTGGAAAGGGAAGATAAGAGCTATAAAAAGTAAAGGGGAATAAAAGATTTTCCACAGACTTTAGGGAAGTGAGAAGCTTGTCTTCCTATGGCAATTAGGAAAATTTTGTAGTCCTTGTACATAAGGACCAGCCTCTTGGAAACCCCGTATCAAACTCTGACAGATGTCACTGGCTACTACTTTATTAAGACTGTTCTTCTAATGATAAGATTGACAAGGGAGTTCAACAGTTTGTCTGTGGCACGAGAACAGCTCTCCTCAAGGAAAAGTGAGGTTAGTTTACTGCAAGAGTATCCAGTAGACCTTATTCTTGTGAACCCAGGGGCACAAGAGATTCAAGAGCTCACTTACAGTCCTTGCAAGTGGTCTTCAGGATGATGATCCTCAGCAGTTACACCAATGGTGGAAATCATGTAGTCAGAATAAATCTCTGCAAAGTCTCTTCCCATCACTCCATAGTACACTCTGTGAAAAAGCTGCATTACACAAAAATCCATGGAGTCATCAGGCACCAGAATGAAACATCAACAAGAATTTTACTCCAGATAGCTCCTGCTTCCTTCAAACTGCAGGTTTAGTTTCATTTTCTTTTGCAGCAGCAGACGTCCCCATACTTGTATCAATATGCTTGAAAGCAAGCAATGTTGAAAGTAGGCCATGAACTGCTTTTGGAGCCACAGCTACTTAGCTCTGTTATAGGAAGGGCAAGCTGGTACTTTGTTTAGGGTCTTAGTATACAGAACAACTAAGTATATTTCATTGTTTTGCAGAAGCAACAAAATCAGCCAAATCTCAATAAGGTGTAAGGTGCCAGTCAAAGAAAATTTAAGTTTCTGTAGCTGAAAGAGCCCACTGTCCTCCTGAATAAAAATTCCTCCAAATAAAATCCTTGCTAAATTGTAGCAAGAGGTATTTAACCTCCCTACCCCTCAAAAATCCCAACCCAATAGATTCTGCAAAAGTGTTAATATCTCTTGTCATCTTTCTGAGATTTTATGTGTTATTACAGGTCTTGGGAGACTGAAACCTGGCTACCAAATACTCACAAAACTGGAGCTTCTCAGCATTAAAAAGGACTTGTCATTTCTGCTGCAACAAGGCACAAAGTAAGAACCTTTAAAATAAAGCTAACAAATTTTGTAGTTATATATTTAAAATACACTAGTGAGGGAATTTAGCTGGTTAAATAAAATACCTCCACATAATAAAGCTTAACAGTATTGGTAACACAAGACTGTTAAGTTTCTGCCAGGAATTTTCCATCAGAGGTACATACTTTTAGGTTAATAAACTATACAATGTATGGGCAATAAATCTGACACTTAAAGGAACAGCTGATTTACGTATGTGCAGTATCTCAAATACCTCCAAGAAGTGTTGGACTTACAGCAGATGCATTATGTAGTTGATCTACAAGCTCTTGAGGAATCCCTGGAATTTCTGGTCATATGGAACCTCAAACAGAGTCCAGCACAGTAGCTCTGACTGGGCTGCTAGTCAGACAGAAATCCTGGACAAACATAAAAAAAATTCAAATTCTACCCAGGCAAAAATTCTAGTTGGATTAAGAGGCTAGGTCAAGAATCATCTGGACATACACTATTGTCTCTGGAAATAGTCAAAATTTAAAAAAAAGGAGAACCCCCTAGCAACATAACAGCCTGGTAGAGAGGGAAATAATTATCAGAAAGAATTATAATGCAGTTTTGATATGAATGTGCTTATCTATTTTTATCCTTTATGTCAAGGCTTTTTGTGTCTCGTCTCCTTCAGGTACATAAATGAAGGACTGAGGATTAATTTAGCAATTAAATTAGAGGGTTAAATGAGTGAACACAGTGGCTGAATGAAGTTTAAGGTATTTCCCCTCCTCTCTTCACTCACAAACATAGGTTGTAAAATGATTAAATATCAAACTTCAAATCCACTGTGCAATAATAAAAATCAAGAAGTAAAAGAACCTGCAGCTACATGGTGTAAAAGGGGTTTCATATGTTGAGGTGGGTGGTGAAGAGACCAGCCTGGAGCAATTTCACTGCAAATAAAGTAAAATCTATCAAACAGGAAATCACAACAGTTGCCAATCCAAATTTTACCTGAAGATACCTACCTAAAGAATAAATTAAATCCAAACATGGTAACCTTTATGGCTAGAGAGCCCACAATTCCAATTACATAACTCAGTTTATAGATTAGGAGTAGCATTTGTAGACCAACCTATGGATAAGAGAAAAGAAAGATTGTTCGAGACCTTGCATATTCTGAAAAGTTACATGAAATGCCACATACGTACCTTCTACTGAAATATTCATATAAATTCAATAGAAGTTTTACACTTCTGTATTTCTCCCTTACTTACAGGTGAATAAAAGTGCATAATACAGGAAAAGTACAGGGAAAAAAATCCAAAACCTTTTTGTTTCGCTTCAGTCTTCACAAGAAATGGTAATGGTGAACAGATAGCTAACATAATTAAAACTAACAGCTGGGAGATGTAGGCCAGAACAGGAAAAGAACAGGTAAAAGCAACCGAGGTAAGTTAGATATAGTCAAATCAGTATACCCCCAATGAAATTTGTCTATCTATCTATATATCTAAAATAGCAGAAGCAATCTCTGAACCATTAAGAACTGTCTTCGTGAGCCCAGGATGGAAAGGCAGAGTTTCAGAAGACTGAAGAAGGAAGAATACAGACTTCTCTTTAGGGAGGCAGAAGGGGGTCTAAGGAATAAATTCAGACTATTTGGTATATATACCAAATCGAGCTTTTCAGGCTCACTAACACCTGGGATGACTGCTGATGGTAAGAGTCTGCAGAATAAAAAACCAAGATGGAACTGATGGAATGAATTTAATTTTAACTCCTGTTTAATTCTTCTTAATTTGCATGTCATGTTTGATAAACACTGGTTTAGAGGAACTTATTCATACTGCAGTTGGAAGATTCCTTCAAATTCAACTCCTAATGGCCCTGTTTGTAACCTTTGAAGACTTGTTCCTGATAAATTCTTCCTTGCTCTTCTCCTTCTACAAGTTTCCTTTAAGAAAATTCTTCCTTGCTCTTCTCCTTCTACAAGTTTCCTTTAAGAACCAATAAAAAAAAACCCCAAACCAAAAGCAAGGCAAAAACCAACAAAAAAGGACATATTGTGGCATTCTTCCCAAGAGAGGCTTGCAGGTTGCTCTGAAAGTGATGTAACTGGTAGTAACTGAGAGCATTCCCCACATGGATGGGCACCTCCACCAGCAAAGTCTGATAGTGAAATAAAGAGGAGCAACCCACGTCTGCAGCAGTGTGGCTAACTGTTGGCAAAATTGAGACAGTAATTTCATAGTAATGACATCCTATGGTTCCATTTTGCATGGTTAGGTTTGAATAAGAGGTTGCCAGACTCTAAAACTCATACAAAAAAATGTGACTTCTACAGCACCTTACACAAGAGGACCTTTGGCCCTTGGATAATGATGTTAGTCTGTCTTGCACCCTGTAAGTAATTAGTAATCCCAATGTTGTAAGCAATTATAGCACAGAGATACAACTCATCAGACCCCCACATCCTATCCTCAGAAAACTAAACTGTCTATTGATAGAATTAATTCTGTTGAAAAAATAATTAAAGTTTGTTTTCTAACTCAAATTATATATTTAACCAAGGGGCTAAAGCTTTGGGAGCAAGTTTTCTGAGATTGGTGGAGGCAGTTTGGCCTTTAAGCCTTAGAACTGCTCTTACAAACTTTCCAAAAGGCACATTTGGCTGCACTAATTTGGGATGCCACTCTGTTCCATAGCCACACTACTGAAGGTTTTTCTTAAAAACTCTTTCTACAGCACAACAAAATGTTGTGGCTTAAACCTTTTTTCTAAATGAAATTATATCAAACTTAGTATGTATATGTGCTTGAATTGCCCACAGTGATGGAATATTCTACTTCTTTTCCAATAAGCAAATATTTGAAACCCACTGAAGAGTCAAAAGCTCTGTAATGTCAGTTCTCTCCATGATCAGATTAATATTACCATGGATTTGGGATTGTGGAAGCCTGATGATGACAAAGATAAAGCAAGACTGACTTTAATATGTTTTTGTAGCTTTAGCTTCTGCATCTTTACAGAAAGGTTACTAAAAATAAAATAAATAAAAAATCTGGGACAATATGGTATGGTTTGGTTTGGACCAGGAGCATTTTTAAAAAGCAAACAAAAAGCAAAATCCATCTACAATAAAAAGCTATTTCTATGGAAAATGAATCTCCTTCCTTAACTCAAAAAGTAGAATTCTGAAGGAATGTGTGTTACTGCTTGTGAAACCTAACCATAGTTTTGCCACATATTTCAACTGAAGCAGGACTGGATTCTTCTTCTCCTAAGAAAAAGGAGAAACTCTTAAAAAAAAATCCCCCAAAACCCCAGAAAGCATGCAACTATTAAGCAAACTGGTATTTCACAATAGGAGTTTAAATAGGAGTTTAAAATCCTCGGTGGATAAGGAACTGGCTGGATGGC